CAATCTGTCAATGAATTGCTTGAAGTAATTGGGAAGAATATGTGGTAATAGGCATGCATGTGCACATGCACATAATGATGACCTCTGCTTAAATAGAAGTATATTCTGTTCTTGTAAATGCGTGGATTACAAACATTACCAGATCTTTTTTTTGCAAAGAATATCATCTTCAAAAAGAAAACGACAAAGCAAAAAAATGTTTGAAAAATACCCAAACAACTTCAATGCAAAATATTCTTCAGGAATTAGGCTAAGAAAAATTCACCCACTGCCATGACCATGGTAAATATTTTGAATTCTTAACTTAGTAAACAGAAAATGTATTAATAAAACATATGTGGTAATTGACAATCAGTGGTTTGATTACTTCAATCTGTCAGATGTACAGTTATGTATACATCATTACACATATGGATAAAAAACTATTTTAATGTGGCTAAATATCATTTAGGCAAGGTTAAACTCAAGCTAATACAGCCAGCTAGCATGCCCATCCAGCTAATATCATTTAGGCAAGTTAAATATGAGCTTATCAGCCGGCGGTTTCCCCGTTTGGGAGTACGTGACCTGTTGGGTGGCCTTCAGGGGTTTTGCAGGGGTTTATGGTTCATTGCATAATTGTTGTAGTGTACTCAGCTGATTGTTACGGATCAGTTGCACTGCTTTGCTCGCAAATCATTGCGGATTCTTGCCTCTTCGTTGCCTTTTGTTTTCTTTTGAGAGCTATTGTTTATCCTTGTTTATACGATAATGACGGCCAGGTCAACCCGTAACAGCCAAGCGGCGGCCTTCGATGCCATTGTTTCTGTTGCTGAGACGACTCGACCACATTCAAATGATGCAAATGTCCCTCAATCAACTACACAGACGCCAGTCGTTCCTTTGACGTCTCAAGCTCAATCTACTGATCAGCCTTCTCCCGCTTTCTTAGCATCGGTTGTCAATGCGGTCAAGCAAGCCCTCGCAGCTGAGCAAGCATCAAATCTGCCATTGACGCCCCCAGTTTCTTCATCCTCGAGTGTGCCAGAGGCGGCCATGCCTGGGGGCATTCCTCCATCGTCTCTATCTTCTGGCCAGCTAGATGCTCAAGTCTCAGCCCTGGCAGCCTCTGGTGTTGGTTTTCCACCTGTTTTGGCAGTTGCTGCGAGCGCTATGGCGCAAGGTAGGCCCAATTTTGTTGTGCCTTCATTTGTTTCTATGTTTGCCTCGCCAATACCTGCACTCGCAACACCTTCGTCCAACACCGCTATTGGGACTGTGTCGCTCACTCTCGGCGGTGCTTCTTCACCGGCCCAGTTGCCCGTGCTGCATCAGGCATTCGTGGTTGGCCCTGGGTTTTCGCCTATTCCAGCGAAACTCGTAAGCCAGATTGTGGCTGGGAAGTTTGTAGAGCTGAACGAGTTGCTTTCTGTCAACATAGTCTCAACTGAGTCCGAGCCTTAATTGCTGTTCGACGATCGGTTGGTGCTAACTTCGACACCCAAAAAGCCTAAATGGCGCATTGAGGACATATCGAGTTGGCCAGAGGCTTTCTCAGTGTACAGCCTCATTTTGTTGTCCCACTTCCCTCAGCAGTGGAGGGATTTGCTGCAATACCAGCTTTTGATTCTCCGCACACATCACCAGTTCGCCGCTGGTCTGGTTGGCGTATGATTGGGCCTTCAGCGAACACGCTGCCGCAATGAACTTGACGGACTGGTCGGCCATAAATGTCCAGTTGTTTAATTTCCACACGGCTGGGGCCTCTGTCCGTCCTGGCCGTGAACTGTCAGATGAATCCACGGCGCCACATGGAGCTTCATCTTCCCACATTATTTGCAAATCGTGGAACCGAGGCTGTTGTGTTGCTCCTTCTTCTTCATGCCGTTTTGCCCACAAATGCTCCAGCTGCTTTGGTCCACACCACGTTGGAGCTTGCCCTGGCGAGCCACCAAGCCAGTCCCGAGCTTCACCCAAACAGCAAGCTGACTCTTCTCAATCTCGCTCGAGCAGCAAGTCCAGGCACTAAGCGATTGAAATATTAGACTCTAATCATTGTTATTAGGCCATCCCTTACTGTTTTGACTTTGTTGTTAGGGTGGAGGACTTCTAGCAGCATGTTTAGGTGCGAATAGACACTATCAGATTGTTGTTTGTCATTTGCCACATTATGTTTGTTATTTCCCACCACACTATGTTGTTGTTCTTTCATTTTAGGATGGTGTATTTACCACTTGTGTCTCTTCACCTTTTGTGCTTGAACTAAACCTAGTTGCTTCAGCATTTGTTATTTACTGGGATGTCCATCAATGAAGGGTTTGGGTTGGGGTTAGATATTATGGGGCCAGTTAGTGACTCCTGCTCTATTTGTGTTCTTTCCTAGCTCCTCTCCCCCCAGTTTCAGCAGTCACTCCTCTGCAGGTAGAGCAGTTTGCCTGGGAGTTGCCGCTCCATCCCCATCAACAGCAGGTTCAATTTGCATTGGATGGAATCCATCATGGGTTCAAATTGGGCTTCTGCCCGGCCCAAAAGCTTAAGGTGGCTAAGAAAAACAAACCATCTGCTCACCAGCATCAATCTGTCATTGACAACTATTTAGCCAATGAGGTGTCGTTGGGTAGGGTGGCTGGCCCTTTCGATTCACCCCCCTTCCCCCACCTCCAAGTCAGTAGCTTTGGTGTTATTCCAAAGAAGGGCCAACCAGGAAAGTGGCAACTCATTGTGGACTTGTCTTCCCCAGGGGGATATAGTGTCAATGATGGGATCAACCCAGATGAGTTTACCCTCCACTACATAACTGTGGATCAAGTTATTCGCCTAGTGTCTCGACTGGGAAAGGGGGCCCTCATGGCTATATTCGATGTCGAGTCTGCTTACTGCAATGTTCCTGTTCATCCATCTGACCGTTATTTCCTGGCGATGAAGTGGCGTAATCAGTACTATGTGGATCTGGCTCTCCCCTTTGGCCTTCGATCAGCTCCTTTTATCTTCAATGCGATAGCAGACATGGTTGAGTGGATCCTTGTGCATTCTTATCAGATTCCAGACCTGCCGCACTACCTCGACGACTTCATCACTGCTGGCCCTCCTGAGTCATCTCAGTGTGTGCACAACTTGAGCATTGCAGTGTCAGTATGCAGATGTTTGGGCTTGCCACCTCACCCCGGCAAGTGTGTGGGCCCCTCAGCTGTGCTCGTGGTCCTAGGTATTGAGCTGGATTCCTTTACTCAAATCGCTCGTCTCCCTGCCAAGAAATTCTCCACTTTGCGAGATCTCATTACTTCTTGGCTTTCTCGAAAATGGTGCAATAGGCAGGAGTTAGAATCTCTCATTGGCCATCTGCATCATGTTGCATCATCTGTAGCACGGTGTTAGCTTTTGGCTGTTCCAAGGTTTATTGCCAGAGGCAGACATCTAGGTGGCTTCTGATGCAGCTGGATCAATTGGTTATGGAGCATACCTCAAGGGCCTTTGGTTTGCTGGTTCCTGGGCTCCTTCTCAACAACAGCAGTCCATTGCTTATAAGGAGCTCTTTCCAATTGTCATCGCTGCTCATGTTTGGGGGCACATGTAGTGCAAGAATCACGCCCTTTTCCGTTCAGACAATGATGCTGTCGTCCATGTTTTGAATTCCAGGACTTCTAAAGTACCTTGTTTGATGTGATTACTGCGCAGCCTGCTTCTTGCAGCCATTCATCGTAGTTTTTCCTTTTCTGCACAACATGTACCTAGGGTTAACAATCAGATAGCTGATGCTTTGTCTCACTTTCGTTGGCAGGACTTCAGGCAGTTGGTCCCAGATGCACAGCCTCACCCTACTTGGATTCCTTCGGAACTTCTGGCAGACTTGACTTCCCTGCCTTAGAGCAACAGTGCTTTTTCTTTTTGTCTCAAGGCCTCACCCCCTCAACACACTGTTCATATGCTTCAGTGCAATCGAAGTTCATTTCCCTTTGCTGTCAGCTTGGCAAGTTACATCCTTCAGGGTCCCCATGCCCAGCAGACGAATGGACACTTTGACTCTTTGTCACGTTTCTTGTGAGAACCATTCAGCATTCCTCTATCAAGGTGTATTTGTCTGGGGTTAGAACCCTTCATATTGAACAAGGGTTCCCCGACCCACTCACGAATTGCCTTCATCTTCAACGGGTTGTACATGGAATCAAACACTGTCAAGGTTCTCCTTCTTCTTCGCAACTCCCATTACTGATGATCTGATGTTGGTTATTTGGCGGTCTCTGGACCTTCGCCTCCTGGACCATTGCATGTCCTGGGCAGCTTGTTCATTGGGATATTTTGGCTTCCTATGCGCTTCCAAGTTCAGCGTTCCCAACCTGTCTAGCTTCTCTTCACCTCTGCACTTGGGTGTTCAGGATATTGCGGTGGATTCACCTTCAGCCACATCATGCATGCGCATTAAGATTAAAGGTTCCAAGACTGATCCGTTTAGGAAGGGCTGTCTCATTCACATTGGCGTTGGTCGGCATCCATTGTGTGCAGTTCATGCTCTTATGACTTACCTTGCGTTCACGGGTGATGCTCCAGGCCCCCTGTTTTTGTTCCAGAGTGGTCAGCCCCTTTCACATTCTGTGTTGACGGATTGGCTTCAGCAGGTCATGGTCTCCACCAGGATTCCCGGTAATTTCTTGAGCCATAGCTTTCGCATAGGGGCTGCTACTGTCGCTGCTTGCAACTGAGTACCGGATCATCTGATTCAGTCCATGGGCCGCTGGTCAAGCAATGCCTAGCAGCTCTACCTTAGGACCCCGTTGGATGCCTTAGCTGCCCTCTCAAAAAAATTGGCTAGAGGAAAGTATTTGCGCTGCCTGGAGCACCTTTTGGAGCTTATCTCTACTTGCTGTAGCATTATGTTCCTGCGTCTTTCCTTTGGATTTGCAGTCCACCATGGCTAGCTTCCTAGGTATGTGTTTATTTTGCATTTGCCCATTGTATCAGCTGATTGGTGCTTGGGGGAGGTTTGGGGGATCAGAGGTACCATGTCACACTGTCCTTGGGTCCCTCCTTTCTCCAAGCACCAGGACAAGGGTTTCATCTAAGTGGTTCCTACTTTCCAGGGTTGCCATGGATACCTCCTAGCGGCTTATGGCTTTGGCACCCCGCTAACCTTTAAGGCACCAGTTCCCAAGCTCATCTATTTGTGATGAGTTTAAATGTCGCTAAATATCATTTAAGCAAGGTTAAACTCGAGCTAATGCAGCCAGCCAGCGTGCCCATCCAGCTAATATCATTTAGGCAAGTTAAATATGAGCTTATGCAGCCAGCGATTTCCCCATTTGGGAGTACGTGACCTGTGGGGCAGCCTTCAGGGGTTTTGCAGGGGTTTATGGTTCATTGCATAATTTTTGTAGTGTATGCAACTGATTGTTGCGGATCAGTTACGCTGCTTTGCTCGCGAATCATTGTGGATTCTTGCACCCTCTCCTCCCTCCCGTTTTGTTCTTGGTCAGGGTAAGTATTCTTCAGGTAAGTAGTTTCCACTGAATTTCTTTCAGTGTGATGGTGCGGGTTAGCAGACGCTCATTGGGTGGTTCCTGCTTTCCAGGGTTGCCATGGATACCTCCTAGCAGCTTATGGTTTTGGCACCCCGCTAACCTTTAAGGCACCAGTTCCCAAGCTCATCTATTTGTGATGAGTTTAATCAAAAAAAGATTATACTTGACTGCATACCCACTGAATGTGAAAGTGGATAACACACAGATTTGTACTTGAAATTTCTTTGAAATAGATTATTATCTAGTGCTAGAGGGCTGGAGGCTCCTAAGCTACCACAATAGCATACTTTGCACTGATAAGCAAATTTACCTCCTCTCCACATCCATAGTTCTTTGCATTCAAAAGTCCTACAAGTGTGCTGTAAACAGTTGTTTTCTCTGGTAGATTTGCAGCACTGAAAAAAGTATTCCAGAACATAATTTGAAGAACGATAAGGATTAAGTAATTTCATATATAGAAATAAAACTTTTTTTTCACTGTTATTTTTGATTGGTTCAGAGTGGAAACTGCAAAGTTCTCAGGTTTCTGTCAGTAAATTAATGCAGCAACAGGACCGCAGCCTGGCAAGTAATAATGAGAAATAAGTTTTGCTGCATTACACTTGCACAGATGAAATTTGCATACATGTGTATGTTCACATATGCAGTACAGTATAGACATCATACACTTACATGCATTTATTATATGGCTTTGGCTTGTGACTGATATAACGCACACTGTGATTGGCTAAGTGGCCTAATCTGAGCAGCCATTATGCAGCTGTAATGCCCATGGGCTGATTACAGATTATGCAAATTAGGAAGAGCCCGGCTCTGAAAATTCACGTGCATTGAAACGATGAAAGCCAATTAAAAACAGTAAGAGAAAGTAAATTTAATTCCGAGTAGCTAAAAGTTTAGAGATTTTTCCTTAATAAAATTTACATGTAGAAATCGTTCTTGACTTACCAGCTGGTAACCTTGGTGGGAGCAAGTGAAAAACAATCAAAGTTTGCAAATCGCTAAGTAAAAAACATGATCGGCAGATCTGTCATGCATCCTGAGCAGAACACCATGGAGAAACTTAGAAGTTATCATCTTAGTCACAACGATTACCGAAGTATTGAACTCCGTCAAAGTTCTCATCAAATAGATTCCCTCGCTTTAACACACGCAAGTGTAAATCAGCTTCCAGGATCATCAGATGTAAACAATTGGGCAGTTTCTGTTGGTTATAGTTGTGTTTCTGATAAATGTAGGAAGTTTTAGACGTTCTCGAGGCTTGAAAAGTTCATCCATAAATCCCAGAATAAAGAAGGCGAAGATATGTTGTCGACAGTGAATGTGAAGATCGAGTTATTCTGAGCAGTGCATTCTGAAGCATTAGTATTTTCTTTCACCAAAAGACCGTTTGTTTGGACTACGTTAAAGCACTTTCTGTCTTTTCTATATGCGTTGACATTTTGCCACAAAAGTCGGAAAACTCCCCCATCAAGTTGTGGCACCACGATACCAAAACACCTTTTTCCCGTAAAGAAATGTGTGTTTTAAACGGAATGCATAATACAGTGGTGAAGTTCACTGATTGTGTAGTTTTGCCCTGGGTTTGAGACGATCAATGGATCAGTTAACACACGCATCACTGGATGTAAATTGACAACTTCCGCTCGAATAAGATTTTTTTTTCCTTTCTTTAATTCATGAGCCATATAATAAACAACTTAATAACCTTGACTGTTCGGTCGTTATGGGAAAATCTCAAACCTCGGCCTACTGTATTGACCTTGCTATCGCTCGGTCAATACGGCAAGGCCTCAGTTTTAGATTTTCCCATAATGACCTCACTCTTGGTTATTATGTAGTTAGTAATTTGCTGAGGCAAAACAGAAACCAGTTTATCTTAATAATACATGAGCAATATTGTTAATTATTCCAGCCCGATCCACTTTTTAAATGATTCACAGTTACAATTTCCTCACCATGTGCAAATAATCTTGAGGATGCGTTCTTTGTAATTAGGCAAATCAGCTTCCAGCACACTGGCGAGACCTTCCAGATTACTTTCAAGAGATGATGTACTCTATAAGAGAAAATGAATTTACAACTTACCCCTGACAGTATCACAGTCATTGCCATCAGTATTGACATTCAATTTGGTGTTGGTATTGGTTTGGGTAATAGTGCAGTAAGTACAGTTATTGATGTACTCTATTGTATTGTCACAGAAACAGGTTTTCAAAACAATCTTTCAACAAGACAATTGAAAGGCCGCGTGCAAGAACGTCCCCTAGATTTTTTGGCCATTTTGAAAGTGTTCAAAAATAGCTGAATTTTGGCATGTAGGCTTCGTTGTAC